CTGTGCAAGACTGCCAGTTTTTTTTGGAATATAATACAACTCCTGTGCTCCAGGCAAGCTCAATGCTGATTACAGTACATTAATGTTCCAGTTAGTATTATTAGAATGCAGTTTCTCATTTTAATTTAAGCAGCGTTCACATCAGCCATGGGGTAATGGAGCTAGAGTGCTGTCTTTTCACCTGATTCCGAAATTTGAATTGATCTGGAGTAACCAGTCAAAAGCATTCTCTCTGTGTTGACTTCTCCATATTACCTTGGGCCGTCTCAATCCAATTGCCAGTGATGTCATCTTGGCTCAGCCGATAGGACTCTCACCTCTGGGTCAAAAGGTTGTGGATTCAAGCCTCACATCAGGCCTTGAGCTCACAGTGCAGTGCTGGGTGGAGCAATTACATGGCTGATGGCGGGTTCAGTCAGCTGAGACGTGAAACTGAGGTATCATTTGGCAAATTCTTCAGATGATCTTAAAAGTTCCTGTGTTGCTTTTTGAGAAGTTTCTCCCAGTGTCAACAGTATTCTAGATAAAATAGTACATGTTTTAATAGTACAGATTTACTTCCAATGCAGATGTATCCATCCAATGGATGAGATACTAAACTGAGGTCCCATCTGCCTGTGTGAAAACCAGTGGTCCTCAGGCTTCCTACAAACTCTACATCCTCAAGGAATCCTCAAGCTTTTTGGAGTGAAATAGACATTGCCTCAACACAGTCTGCACAAGGTAAAGTGTGGTGCTCCCTTCTTTCACTCACTTGCCCCAACCTGGATTTTCCAGCTCCATCTGAAGCCAGTGGTATAAATATAAACCAAATCCCTGAGGATCCACCGTTGTTGACTGAATAATAATATTCCTTGCATTTGATATAGCACTTTATGTCACGGAGTCATCTCAAAGCGCTTCACAGGATATACTGTGAATTGGAGTGACTGTATTTTGTGAGCGAAACGCGGCAGCCAATTGCACCCAGCAATGTCCCACAAACAGCCTTTTTTTATTGATTATTGGTCAGGACAGCAGAAGAAACTTTTCGAATAGTGCCACGGGATCCTTAATGCCCACCTGAACAGGCAGATGGGACCTTGGTTTAATATCTTATCCGAAGGCTGGCATCTCTGACAATGCAACCCCCCCTCAGCGCTGCATTGGAGCATCAGTTTAAACTATGCGATTCCAAGTCCTGACATGGGGCTTAAACCCACATCTTTCTGACTCAGACGAGAATGCTACCCCAAAGCCAGGCTGACATACGAAGAGGCTGATGGGGCAAGACTACCCAGGGCATGATTCTTCTTTACTTCTAATCACCTGTATGGAGATGCCTCCCCTCCCTGGAGTACCTTTTGCTTTTGGGGAGGGGGGGTGGGGGGAGTGCACGTATGGTATGGGTCAACAAATCCATAAGAGTGTAGTCGGCCTGGCTCAGTTAGTAGTACTGTTGTATCTGAGTCAGAAGGTCAGGCCCCACACTGGGAATTTGAACTCCTAGTCTAAGCTGACGTTCCAATACAGTGCTCGGGTGGGCTGAATTGTTGGAGGCATCATCCTTCAGATGAGAGGTTAAGTCAAGGTCTCATCCGCAACTCCAGTTTTACATTAAATATCCTATGCACTATTCAAAAAGAGAGTTTCTTCCTATGTCCTGTCCAACAATCCCCAAGTTAAACTGACCATTCTCCTCTGGCTGTTTGGGGGGCATGGCTGTGAGCAAATGGCTGCTGTCTTTGTTTACTACCATTGACTTTATGATAATTATTTTTTAGGGTAAAGACACACTGGAAATGCATCAATTTAGCTGCTAGTGTTCATAATGGGCCTGATTATTTTTGAGGAGGAAGCATTTTCAATAAAAAGTAATAATTATAATACTTGCATTTGATACAGCACCTTATCAAGTTTTGAGACGTTTTAAAGCACATCACAGAACATGCTGTAAAGTGGATTGACTGTACTGTTGATTGAGTGAAAGGTTTTCTTTCCTTCCTTCCTTTCTACCCTCTGTGTCCCCTTAGCTGGTTACCCTTAATATGCATTAACAGTTAATAAAGGTGTCTCTCGTGTGGTACTTTTATCAAAGGTCTTTTGGAAGTCTAGATACATGTCAAAAGTCTTCCAAATTTGATTACTTTTCATTGAAAATACTTTGTCAATCTCTCCCTGTCCATTGACACCGTTCCCACCCCCTTAAAAACAGCCGTCATCATCCCTATCCTTAAAATACCTTTCCTGGAACCATCCTGCTCTCAAATTACCACCCCATCTCCAACCTCTTTCCTTTCCAAGGTCTTTGACCGAGTCGTTGCTTCCCAGCTTTGTTACTTCCTCTCCCACCACTCCCTATACAAACCCCTCCAAACAGGTTTTTGTGCTGCAAACAGCACAGAAATGGGGCTGGTCCAAGTGACAAATGACATGCTGTCCATCTGTAACCAGGGCTCTGTCTCCTCATCCTCCTTGACCTCTCTGCTGCCTTTGATACAACAACAAGAAGATTTCATTTATACAGTTGACCACTATGTCCTCCTCCGCCACCGCCTCTCTTCTCAACCTTCAAGATTCTGTCCTTGAATAATAATAATAATAATCCTTGCATTTGATATAGCGCTTTTCACGTCGGGAGGACGTCCCAAAGCGCTTCACAGAACATACTGTAAAGTGAATTGACTGTATATTTGTGGGCGAACGTGGCAGCCAATTGCGCACAGCAATGTCCCACAAACAGTCGCAGATTGAAAATGACCAATTTATTATTGTTTTTGGTTTTGGAGGGATTATTATTAGGTGTGTGGAGTAAGGAAACTTGCCCAAGGTTTCGCCCTGCCTGGAATTGAACTCCGGTCTCTCGCTTGCAAAGCGAGTGCTCTAACCACTGAGCTACAGGACTCCACAATAGTTTATAACCTACCTCTCACACTGTCTCCACTTTGTCTCTATAAACAGCTTCTCCTCCAGTCCGCTCACCGTCTTGTGGTGACATCATCCGCAGACATGGGGTCAACTTCCACATACAGGTGGATGACACCCGTATTTCTCTGCCTCCACCCTCGACTCCAAGACCACTGCTGGCTGTCCTGACAGAATGTCTGTCAAGACAGACATCAAGACCTCGATGAGAGCTAACTTTCTCCACTTGAACATCAACAAGATCGAGGCTCTCCTGATTGGCTCCCGTCAGCGCCTCCACACCTCAGGCAGCATCACCATCCTTGAATACACACTCCACCTCTCTGAGCCAGACCTTGGCATCTTGTTTAACCCTCAACTGTCTTTTCTCCCCTACATCCGTGCCATTACCTGCTCTGCCTTCTGCCACCTTCGCAAGATCGCTCGACTCCGCCATTGCCTCAGGACGCTGAAACCCTCATTCACGCGTTTATCACATCTAGGCTCAACTACGCCAACTCCATGCTTGTAAACCTTCCCAGCTCTTCCCTCCACAAGCTACAGATCATCCAGAACTCTGCAGCTCGTGTCCTCTCCTGCACCAGGCTCTGTGACCCCATCGCTCCCACCGACCGGCTTCACTGGCTTCCCATCCCTCAGAGAATAGAGTTCAGAATCCTCATCCTAGTCTTCAAAGCCCTCCACGGCCTTGCCCCTTCCTACCTCTTCCTACCTCTTCCCCCTCTCAATCACTTTCTCCCCTCTGTGAAGGATGTTCACAGGGAGGGAGGGAGGGAGGGAGGGAGGGAACGTAAGTTGAAATGTTGGAAATGGTTTCGGGCCGAATAAAATCGCCCGCTGGGCCAGTTGTGGCGTGCGGGCCGCCAGTCGGACCATGTTGCCTTATGTTATGTTAGCAGAAAGGAGGGTTAATTTTACATGTGTTATATCTGCATCAATGCCCAATACATATTTGGCTTGTATTGGCCAACTGATGTTGTCTGTAGAGTAGCACACATGCTGATTGTAAACCCTTACTGTCATGATTTGACTGCAGAAGTTTTGGCATAGCTATGCTCTAAGCTAACATCAACATTCAGTCCTAGTACCAATTCCACTTTGCTGTATTATGCCATAATGTTTTACCCCAGCAATACTCCCAAAACACACACTGTGGTCCCCAAGTAGGGCTCTTATAAAACTCCAGTATTTGGCATGAGCAGGGTGCGACCCTCCAGAGAAACCATGCATGCTCCATTCCACGCAAAGTGAAATTTCCATGCAGATGTGGAACTTGGTCTGGGTTGGAAACTCTTAAGCATGGTGATGAGTTTCCACGTGTGTCAGTCTGACCAAAATAATATATCCGTACATAGAACAAGTCGAATCAATGAGGAATAACGTTAGATTGCTTTCTGAAGATGTTTTCTCCCATTTCTGATAAGACAGATAACTGGAACCAAAACACTTTATTTAAAGATTTTATATAATAATCAAAAAAAAGTTTAAGGCAGTGCAAACCAGAGATAAGAAAAGATATTTTACATCGGCTATTTCTAAATGGTGACAAAGAATATCTTTCTTCGAAAATGCCAAAATGATATAGAGATATTGAGGCATAGAACCCTTTCTAAAGGAGCAGAATTACACTCGGGAGAAAAGGATCACTCAAGTAGGCTAGACTGGGCTAAGCATATTTGGCCGTTCCTAAGATTACAATACGGAATTGGAACACAACCCTGAGGGTCAGTCGTCTGGTCAGCACAGCTGATATCTGGCCTGAACCCAGAGCAGGATCTGTGGGCAATGATTTCCATGGTCCACACAAGCCAAGTCAGGAAGGCAGATCAGTAAGCAGAAATGGAGCCGAGAGCAAGCAGGGGAGTTACAATACTCCTGTCACCAGTTTGAGATCAGGCAACGAGTAGCCCTAGCGCTCTCTGTAAATATCCACTTTATTACCAACTTGTTTGCTATGAAGTGTTAGCACTGTGCACCGCAATATTACAAGAGACCCAATGTACTGTTCTGTTGGCAAATAGCCAGACTCTTGTTCTGCTAATAATCTTGATTCTTGAATGAAAGTATAAAAGTTCATGTATTGTGTTTAATAACAGGTGCAGGTGCAGGTACGGAATACCAAGGCTCAGTTTGATAAGCTGAAGAATGACGTTTGTCAGAAGGTGGACTTGCTCGGAGCCAGTCGCTGCAATATGCTGTCCCAGTCACTTGTCACTTACCAGGTAAAATAACTTGAGATGTGGTGTATTCTCTTACTTCCACTTTCTGGCCCAGGAACACTCAGGGCCAGTGGCGCCCTGACTGAGATTAAACTTGAAACCACGTGCCTCCATCTGCATCATTTCCCCTTCTTTGTGTGGTAGAGTTGCATAGCCTCACCTCAGCTCTTCCCCATTTCTAAGAGTGGAAAGTTACTGAACTGGGAGCATTAGTGCCCAATCCCGCCACCTCAATTCTCAACAATTCATGATTTTCAATTTTGCTGCAAGAAGAGGAGTCTAGTGAGTGCAAGGTCACAACTTAGTTTCAGAATTAACAAAGAATAAAAGGTTGCTCTCATTTATTATAGTGACTCCTTCCCACATTTTAGGGAACCACAGTTAAATACTGCATCAAGAACTGTTTCAAAGGTCTTGGTCTCTTGTATTCAATCTGCATCCCTCCCTGCATGGAAGGAAACATCTCTAGTCAGGGTCTCCCCCAGTCTTGGCTGAAACTGAAACTGTGGACCTGGAGGATTCCAAGCTCGAACCTGCTCAAACTGTGGACCTGGAGGATTCCAAGCTAGTCCCACTTCGGTAATTGGGTGTGTCCCCCACACTCCGTGAAGCAATGTTAGTAGCCATCATGCAGTCTCATCACACCAGTTTTCACTGTTGTTTTACTCAATGGGCTATGTTGAGGTAAACATTTCTCTTTCAGAATACACTTCTTCAGTTCTGGGAGAAGACGGCCAATGCAATGTCCCAAATTCATGAGAGTTTCAAGGGCTATCAGCCGTATAACTTCACCACGCTGAAGGTAAGAGGACCTTTAACCATTCACAGAATTGGAAGTTACATCATGGAAACAGGCCACTTGATCCATCAAGCTTGGGCTGGTGGAGGGACATGGGAAAGGGGACTGAGAGTCTGGGAGCCGGTGCAGATTCGATGGCCAGACTCATGCTAGTGTCCTGGCCTCAACCACCCTTCTTGGTAACCTGTCTAGTTATTAATTATCGCTGGGTAAAGAAATATTTTCTGGCGTCTGACCTGAAATTTCCACTTTGCATCTATAAATTTATGTACTTGTCCTGCTCACTGAGTGCATCCAAAAGTGTTCTGGGTTTACTTTCTCAATCCCTTTTAGAATGTTATATGTATGATATTGAGACATGAAGAATAATGGAGTGTGTTTTATTGTGGAGAAGTTTATTCCAAAGCAAAGGATGCCACTTTGGAAAGAGCTCATTAAACCATATGGAACCACTTTGTTTTTTGTAGTTACAAATTGTATGACTTATGGAATAGACCAGTATCCAATGCAGTAAACACAGACTTTGTTCAAACATTCAGACCAATTCCTGGTTCAACTAAGATTGGAGGGTTCAAGGTATTTGCAGAAGAGGTTACATCAGATACTGGGAAAGGACCTGGATGACGGAGTGAGAGAATTTGCTGAATGGTGTCTTTGCTTTGCTGCATTCCTTTTATGCTTTGATGTTTATAGAAGGAGACTGAGGCTGAGCAGATGATGCCGAACATTTTGTCAGTATGAGTGCCCAGATCGTCATCCAAAGATGGGAAAGCTGCCTATCAGCTCAGTGACACAGATGGGACCCATTAGGTGCATCATCCAAGCAGGATGGTGACAGATTGGAATTTCCTTCACCATGGAGCTAATTTAAAGATACAATTAGTGCAAAGAAAATGGTTTTGATAGGAAACTGAATGGGACTCGGGTGAATGTACAATTTAGGCAATTATACGATTTGTAAAGGTGAGACTTACGTGAGTTTTATTGCATAAATGATGGAATCCTTTTCCTATGGAGTCCCGTAGCGTAGTGATTAGTGCGCTCACCTCGCAAGCTAGAGGACCTGGGTTCGATTCCTGGGCAGGATGAAACCTTAGGCAAGTTTCCTTACTCCACACACCTTTGTTTACCTAGCTGTAGGTAGGAACCCGGTTGTTAGTTGACTGGTGGATTGCTTTCCGGGGTAATAATCCCTACCGAAAAAATGTGATTACTCAAAGCACAACTATTTGTGGGACACTGCTGGGCAAAATTGGCTGCCACGTTTTGCCCACAAAATACACAATCAATCCACTTTACAATATATTCTGTGAAGCAATTTGAGACAACGTGATAAGGAGCTATATCAAATGCAAGTCTTACTATTATTACTTTTTTTGAAAACGCTTCCTCCGCCCCTCCTCAAAAATAACCAGGTATAAACACTGGTAGATAAATTGATACATTTCCAAAGTGCCTTTACCCAAATATGTTCACTATATTTCCTGCCAATTTTTTTCCACCCCTGAAGGAGATTGACTTTTTCCCTCAACTGATTCCATAAGCTCTGGGCCTCATCTAGGTTACTCTTGTGGTAGGACTCCTGGTTGGGAGGACTCCTTGTTGGAGTACATACATGTGTGATGAGCTTGTTTAGGTCATGATAGAAGATGCCTGAAAAGAAATATGCCCATGACACTCTCCCATGCAAGACCTTTTCGATGAGGTATAAATCATGTCTCTAAGTCAATTGGTTATTGCAGTTTGGGCAGACAGACACACAGACATTTCGTCTTTATTAGTATATATATTATATATGTATACAATATTAAGGTCAGAGGAATTTGTGTGGTCACCAGAGAATGTGGCCTCTAGAGGGTGAGTGGATGAAGTGTCATGCGATGCCGACATGTTAGAGCAAAAACAATGGCGCATGTAAAGCTGCAGTTTAAACAGGCTAATTATTTGCATTTTAGACTTCATCAAAACACACGTTGTTGCGGATACATTCTCGAGCTCAATGATACAGACAGGAAGACTTTAAAAGTGTACTGAAGTGTTTAAAGTTTAATAGAAGCCAAGAGTGTTTAAGTGTATCTTAATTATAAAATATCAACACCTGTAAATATTTCTCAATGTCTGGTAGTGTTGGATCCCTTAACTTTCTTTATGTAACAGTATATTGAATGCCAAATATCTGATTGTAAAAGAATAAATAGGATCAGTATCAATAATACAATACAATATATATTTACACAGCACCTTTCACCTCAGGAGGACGTCTCAAAGTGCTTGACACTGCCTGGGAACCCGAGGTAGGGGGTGGGAGCCAAGGGGGTGGGGAGGGGAAATACGGCCAAAAATATGGTCAAAGAGAAAATAGATATATTCTGAAATGGGATATTTCTTGCAAGGCCTGATTTTTTTTGTTATGGGCGGTTGGGGGGGAAGAGAGGAAGGAGAGACAGTTAGAAGGTAATCAGAATTGGAACTTTATTGAAGATCTCTTGATTAGGTTCTCTGTAGTCAGTGCCTCAATCAATGCCACCCATACAAATCTCAGTGACTGGGGAACCACTTTCTGTAGAATTATTATTTAATAATAATCCTTGCATTTGATAATAATCCTTGCATTTGATATAGCGCTTTTCACGTCGGGAGGACGTCCCAAAGCGCTTCACAGAACACACTGTAAAGTGAATTGACTGTATATTTGTGGGCGAACGCGGCAGCCAATTGCGCACAGCAATGTCCCACAAACAGTCGTATTTGTTTCAAGGGCAAGGAATGGTGACCTTTTGTGTACAAATGTTGCTTGATTTCTCTCAGAAATATTCCAATAAGTGAATGATCAATTGAAGTGTTCAGTAATGTAACATCGCAGAGCAGTTTATGTCCAGATTTTGCAAAGAGATGTTGAACCTGAGATTAATCTGGTGGATTCAGATGGTAATCCTCTGGTTTCAGGGCTCACATCCTTCTGGCATTTAATGATTTGTTTGTCTCTGTAATGTGTAGAGCTTACAGGATCAAGTGAAGCACCTGACCGAGGACGAAGCTACCAAGGAAGAAACAAAAGAGAAAGATGGCATAAGCAACGACATAGACAAGTGAGTGACGGGGTCTGTAATGACAGAAAGGGAACTCAGGTGTCAACTTTGCACAGTGGTTGCGCTCTCACCTCTTTGTCAGAAGGTTGTAGTTGAAGTCCCACATCGGGACTTTGAATTCGGGACTTTGTAAGGTGTATTTGTTAGCAAACACAGCAGCCAATTTGAGCACATCAGTGTCCCACAAACAGCCATGAAGTGAATGGACAATTTTTATTTGGGGGAATGTTGGCCAGGACACTGAGAAAGAGAAACTCCCTTCTCTTTTACAATAACGCCACTGGACCTTTAATATCCATTCAACTGGCATACAAGATCTCATCATCCTTGCAGCAAGAGATACTAATGGTATTAGTCATCGGTTGTCTTCATTGAGTGCTGTCAGTAGGAAGAACTGAGATTAATACTTGTTTAGATCATTATCTACATGACTTCTAAGAATCAATGAAATTGGTAAAAATGGTCATGAATAGAATAGCTATTAGTGATTGACATGTATTGTGTGAAGCACTTTGAGATGTCCTCTCGATACTACATGAGTATCGATACTACATGAAGGTAAATTGTTGTTTGTGTATGCACACACAGAATAAATTTGGCCAGCAATCTCCCAGATAAAATTGGGCATTCATTTCATGACTATTTGTGGGAGATTGCTGTACACAAATTGGCTTCTGTGCTTCCCTACAAAATACAGTCATTACACTTCATAGTGTATCCTGTGAAGAATTTTGAGACATCCCCCTGCTGTGAAAGGTGCTGTATTAAATACAAGGATTATTATTTAACTTTTAGACATCAATCACAATTTCGGTTATTTGAACTCTTTAATTTATGTTGTTGCCTATGATTTATGCACTGTCACAAGTGTCAGAAGAGAAGCCAGTAACATAACCCTGTTAATGTGATCGTCAGGGGATCTAATGATGTCCCATTCACCTGTTTTCAGGCTCTTGCTACTAGATGAAGAAGATCAAGTGGAGCCTGGAATCAATGCAGGTGAGAGAATGTGAGATGTGTGCCGTGCTGGCCTCAGAGTAATCTATGGAAGAAAGGTGCAGTCAAGCAAGATTACTCCCATTAGAAAGAAACAAATGCTGGGCACATCCATTTTGTTTTGTCTTCCTAAATGTATTCCCAACTTTGTGTTGAAAGGGGAAAAGTGCTCTCAATAGTGATCAGTGTACAACCTTATTTGCCTACATTCATTGAGTGGGGTCATAACCATTGAACCGATCAGGCATTTTGCGTCTTGCTAGGTTTGATTTGTTTCTAAAATGCCGAACTTACAAATTCCTTCAGCAAACAGCAGAGAAAAATGACTGTTTGTCTGACAGTTATTTTACTTTTTGGCAGGTTTTCTCAAACCCTTGTGTTAACATCCAGCACTGGCCTGACAGTGATCCGAATAGCCATGAGAGCGCTCCCCTTCCTTCTCATTCAGTGTGCAGTGTGGAGGGCAAGAGACCTTTGGAAGGGTGAAAATAATACAATTTAACTTAAGTTCCCCCTGCACTATTTACTATCCATTAATTCCTGGAAGGTTTGTGTGTCATGGTCTCACTTTGTGCTCAACACTAACAGGGAGTGAAGCCCCAGTGAATGGCATGAACCAGCCCATGGACCACGACTCCACACAGCTGTCAGAGCTAAAACCAGTTGGTGACACACAACAGTTCTATGAAATGGGTAAAGCTGATGAGAAATGCGCTCTAATTGTGTTGGTGACGAGTATATCTGTGATCTAAAGCTCTGGAGGAAATGTCAACAATTACAGTTTTGTGCCAGCTGAATAATATGATGTTTACTAGCTGATTACTTTATACAAAATAACAATTTGGGTAAAGTATGCGCACCTTTAACTTAAAAATGGAGGATCAGGTGGTCTCTGGGGACTGTGCCCAAGGCTTGTTTTCAATCCAAACCGATAAGGTGAAAGTTTGAGCAATCACAGTCCAGTTAATAAGGGGTTTGTAGCATAGAACACTCTTAATTTGGCCCAGAATTTACTCTGAGATTGAGTGGCCCACACGACCTGAAACATGTCACTTTGACGCGAGCGGCGAGGTTAGAGTGGAGACCTTGGGTGAAGCGCTGACTTGTGCGCGCCTGAAGGTCGGTGTTTCAAGCGCGGAGACACTATTTCAAAATCTCCCACCTGGATCAATGGCCGAAACCACCACGTGACATCACTTCCGCACGGCGTTTTTTAACCCTCCACAGGCTCAGTATTCCTTTTTTATTTCTATTTCTCACCTCTTCCCTGACCTCCTCATTTTCCAACCCCGTCCACCATCTTCATCCTTCTCTGGTTTTGGTCCAAACAAAGCCATGAGTGCCATCCCGCCTCTCTTCCCTCTGTGCTGTCTCCCCGAGGCCCCGCCATGCCTGTGGGCTGATCATGTTCTGCTGAACCGTTTGCTCCCAGTCTCCGCAAGCGTGTTTTGTCGTCCGCCCCCCCGTCTCCCCCGAAAATGCTCCCCCTTCTACTCCCCACAATCCTCTACTCACAATCAGTCCTCTCCCACCACCTTCCCCGCCTTCTCTCTCCTGGACTCCATCACTGCCCCCCTCTGCTCCAGCTTGGGCATCCTACGCCAGGCCCGTATCGGCTTTCGGCGATGGTTGTCCCAAAGCAGCTGCCCAATCAGCTGCTCTCCCCACCTCCAAACTCCTCCTTCCCTCACCTATATCCTTACCCTTCCAAACTCCCACCCCCCACCCTCCATGGTCATCTCTCCCCCAGAGCCTAAAACCCACATTATTCTCCCTCCAAAGCCCTCCTCCAGCTCACATTTCTCTACAAAATGTCCGCTCCCTTCCAATACAACCTTCACGATCCATGATTTCATCCTGGACGAGCATGTCAACATTCTTGGGCTCACAGAAACCTGACTGTCTGCCGGTGACCTGGTCTCCCTGATCAGAGCCAACCTCCCTGGCTACAGCTTTCACCACAACCCCCACCCAAACCGATGCTCATCTCCCAAATTTCCCTTGCTCTATCCCCGTTATCTCCAGCTCCTTCCCCTCTTTTGAACATTCAACCGTGTACCATCCCTCCCTCCTTCAAAATTTATTTATTGTCCTCCCAAACCACCTAGTTGCTTCATCCCTGACCTCTCCTCCCTCCTCTCATCCCTCTGCATTGAATGTAATAGGTGATTTCAACCTCCATCTAAACTCTGCTTGCCCCATATCCTCTGACTTCATTGCCCTCCTCTCCACACTAAACCTCACACTCCATATAAACTCCCCGACCAACAACTGTAGCCTTTTGTAGCCAAACAACTTTTGGCGGGCGGGCCTTCTGCCACTCTGCCCCCACCCTCTGGATCTCCATCCCACAATCTCTCCGCCTCGCCCTCTCCCTTGCCTCCTTCAAGCCCATCTCAAGACACTCCTCTTCGACTGTGCTTTCGATCACCCTGCTTCCCCCCCTGCCCTCCACCATCCTGACCCCAGCTCAAGTCCCAAACTCTGACTATCCAACGCCTTGGGATGTCCTCCTGACGTGAAAGGCGCTATACAAATTTAATTTTGTTGTTGTTGTAGCCACCCCCTCGACCTCGTTATCACTCACGGCCTTGACATCTTTGATTTGTCCATCACAGACAAGGCCATCTCAGACCATTTCCTCATCTCCCTCTCCCGTATCCCCCTCCGCTCTTTGAAGCCCTCCACCATCTTTTTCTGCCCTTGGAAAAAGCTTCCATCCGAGTCACACACGAACACTCTTCCTCAGATCTCGTCGTCCTCTGACCTTCAACCCGCAGCGATCCTGATGCAGCCATTATCCCATCACACCATACTGTACCCCCATCACACCAGTTCTAGCCAGGCTCCACTGGCTCCCTAACCCCGAACAACTCGATCTTAAGATCCTCACACTCGTCTTCAAATCCCTTCACCCCCTGGCACCTCACTATCTCTCTAACCTGCTTACTCCCCAATCCATTACCTGCTGCCTCTGCTCGACTGACTCTGGCCTCCTGCATGTCCCTCGTGCCCTCCGTTCCACCATTGGTAGATTTCATTCCCAGCCACGGCAAAACTTTGGGCAAGTTTTCTTACTCCACATGCCTCTGTAAGTCGGAACCTGTTTGATAGTCGATTGGCGGATCGCTTTTCCGGGCGGTAATAAACCCTTAAAAAAAAATTTGGTCACTCAGTCTACGACTGTTTGTGCGTAATTGGCTGCTGTGTTTCGCCCACAAAATATACAGTCACTACACTTTACAGTATATTCTGTGAAGCGCTTTAGAGGTCTTGAATACGTGATAAGGCACTATATCAAATGCAAGGATTATTATATATTAATGTAATATTATTTTGGTGAGCTGCTCCCAAGCTCTTCTGCACCAACTGCTAGTAGTTTAAAAGTTTTGACATGTTATTCCATGTCAGGATGTATAAACACATCCTGTTTCAAGTCTTGTGGTTTGCTGTTTCACGTGTCCGTAAACATCTCTCCTCCCATGCCCATTGGTGTTCAATATCAGACCGTGGTTGTTAGTCCCAGCAAATACTACCTATGGAGCAGTAGAACAGGCAATATCTGTTAGCACTAGTGAGGTACGTGTGCACTAGTGAGGTACATGTGTAGTATGTGTGAACTGAGGTTTAAAACCTCCTGTTCAATGTGATTTGGGTATATATTGTAGAGTTTGTCACTATAACTATGCGCTATGGCATGGTTAATTTTTGTATTGAAAATTTCTCTTTCATGTAAGTTCTTTGTTTTAAAATAATTATGATTTTGATCATTAGATTATTTACTAGCCCTTCACTGTAACACTGAAATACCCAGTTCTTCATTTTAATACTGTATATCAGTGCCTGGACCCCTGCACTGCGCCAGCCTCCTTGGGGGTATTCAAGCGGGTCTCCTTGGAGCTGAACTGGCTCCAAGGTGAAGTGTTTGGCAAAGAACTGTCAGAGTCAAGCCAGCCCTCTGTGGCTTTCTCAGTAGTCCTGAGCCAGGCAGATCCACAGTGCTCCAGGGCTCATCGGCATGAATCGGAAAGGCACACGTGTCACTGGGGGCAGGGAATAATCCGACTCAGCTCCTGTTAACTCTAAGCCACTCACCCGACAGGTAGTGATATCAATGGCACGCCTATGTGGTTTTAGCTGGTTAGACTCATCAATTACCCCCAACCCGCATTCGGGTCCCCAAGCCTTGGCTCTTGCCAACCTACGCTTAATACTTTCCAGAATTGGGTAAGCAGGACGCATACCTCTATGGAGAGAGAGTGCATTCCATTCCAATAATTTATCTCTGGAATTTCCACGTGTTGGTGGAATGCATGGAATTCTCAGTGGATACTCTTATGCATGGATACTCTTAAGTTTGAATACTGGTGATGGGTTCCCGGATGTGTCAGACATCCGGCTAACCGAAAACAAACTGCTCCAGTCCAAAAAGACCCTCTTTTTAGTAGGAACTCATCAGCATTCAAAGCCGAACAGTGACATCAATATTATCAAAAGGCCTTCCCAAATTACCCACTCTATCCTCTCCCCCCTGTTAATGTCTTTATTTCTGAACTGGGCTGGAATCTCACACTCAGGGTGGTTAAGACTGGAATCCTCTGCCACTGTTCAAGCGGAGTCTTTCAATTCCTTTAAAAGGGAATTAATTAAATGCTTGCGAAATAGTAATATTAAAGGAGAGGAGCAAGCAGTAGAGTGGATTAAACTTGGTGGCTCATGTGGAGAAGAATACCAGTGCATCGATGGGCTGGTTCTGTGCTGTGACATACAGTAATTCAGTTGCCTTTGGTTTTTGTCCCAATAACAACATTTCACAGTCTGTTATTAGCTGCCTCTTGGTGTAATCAAAACCTTCCTGATTCTGTTTCTTGTGTTCTGTATGAGGGGCTCTCCCCAACTAGTGTTTCCATTCTCATGAAGGATTCTTCTGAAAGTACTGACTCGTCTTTCTCTTTCAGATGCTGATCCACCTGCTTTTACTGATAAGCCCAGTGCATTCAGTAATGACTGTTCTCCTCTGTTTTCAAGTGCCTAAGGACTTGCTGGGCGATACATTACAAAGTGATGACCTGGAGAAGAGTGAGCTGACATTCTTAAATGACCTGCTGAATCCTAACCTAGGTGGCCTGGATGATTTCAGCCGGGAGTGGCAGAATGTGTTTGAGAGCTCAGGGCCTCAGCCGGTGTCTGTAGCTGAAGCAGTGGGACCAAACCAGGCTGACCCAACAAGTGGCTTCCTGCCATCCCAGCTCTTCGAACTCAGCCACGACACAGGGGGAGCTTTCATTGGTGAGATAATTTCATACAGTAAAACCTCCTTTTGTATATCAGTGGAGTTTGATTCTGAATGCATAAGAATTGTGGCAGCAGACCTTTCATAAGTAACAATCAAGATTTTTAGTGAATAGTTTAGAACTGTTTAGTCTGCTAACAGTTTTATAAATTAAAAGCTTTTTTACTCCCTACTGTGCTTTCCCATGTCACATTGCAGCTGATTGGAGTGGAGTCCTGTAGCTCAGTGGTTAGAGCACTCGCTTTGCAAGCGAGAGACCTGAGTTCAATTCCAGCCAGGGCGAAACCTTGGGCAAGTTTCCTTACTCCACACACCTAATAATAATCCCTCCAAAACCAAAACCAATAATAAATTGGTCATTTTCAATCTACGACTGTTTGTGGGACATTGCTGTGCGCAATTGGCTGCCGCGTTCGCCCACAAATATACAGTCAATTCACTTTACAGTGTGTTCTGTGAAGCGCTTTGGGACGTCCTCCCGACATGAAAAGCGCTATATCAAATGCAAGGATTATTATTATTGCACATTGTGCTAAAGATGGGGTTCCCAAGCCCTGCTGATTTCCTGCTCTTCCTCTGGAAAGTGTTAGGCCTTTCCTTGGGTCCTTCCCTGTGCCCACGAGTGAGTCCTTTGTGACTGATCCATCCCATTTATTTTGTTTACCATGTTCAAACTTTCACCCCATAATTGGAGATGCTTTTAGACCCATGTCTCTGACCTGAGAGTGTTCCATGTCTTACTACCATCCACTCCCTAAAACATTTGCTTGTTTAAAACCTTAGTGGTATGAATTGGATACTGAGTGAGTAGCTATGCTGAAGATGTCCAGAACTCATTGTTCAGCATAGATGAGGAAAAGTGCTTGCTGGTCGGTGGTCTACATTAAGAGATGGAATGTTCAATTTTTAGGAGTCAGCCTGGCTCAGTTGATAGCACACTCTTGTCTTTGAGTTAGAAGGTTGTGAGTTCAAGCCCCATTTTGGGACTTTGAACTCATAGTTTAGCTTGAAGCTCTAATGCAGTGTGGGGAATGTGCTGCATTGTCAATAGGTGATGTCCTGTGGATGAGACATTAAACCGAGGTCCTGTCTGTCTGACTTGAAAGAACCTATGCACTATTCGAAATGTGAAGAGTTTCTCCTGGCCAACAATCCATCTCAAATAAAAATGGTAATTTCATAGCTGTTTGTTTGTGAGACATTGCTTTGTGCAAATCAGCTGCCATATTTGCTTACTAAATATATAGTATTACAAAATACTACCTTTAAGATATATCCTGTGAAGTCCCTTTGAGGTGTCCTGATGTGAAAGGGGCTGTATCAAATATTATTATTGTTATTGGTGCAAGCCTCTGTCTCTCTGGAGGAACATGATGTATTTTATATGCAATATTATTGCCAGGTTGGACTGATCCGCCCACACTGCAGCCAGAGTCCATGTTGCCACCAGAGCCAACAACTCCATCGGTGCCTCTCCAGAACCTACCAAAGATCCCACCCAGAGGTAGGAGATATGAGATACTGGAATGAAGATAAATATATCAATCTATAGTGTTAAGCATTTAGTGAAAAAGTAATGTTTATCAGAAACATAACATAATAACAACACAAGATTACATTTGTATAGCGCCTTTCATGTCGGGAGGACGTCCCAAGACGCTGAGCTCCTGGCAATGCATTTTGGATATTAATTCAGTCTCTTAGGATCTGTTTCTGTTCATTCAACCACCTTGAAGACCTTATAGAATCGAACAAGGTCACTTCCACAGCCACCGTATTATGGATTTCAGCCAAACACTTCTTCTCTGTATTGGCAGTTATTCAAGTTTTATCATATGCTTCCCAGCTTTTCATAGGTAGGGGGTGGGTGAAGAAGAGGATGCTTTCATTAACAGGATAACTGATGCATAAGAGGGTGTTAGAAGTGTTGCATCAGCTGCCTGGGTGGTACGTTAGTGGGAGGAAGGGATATATCTGCAGGATGAGTGTGAATGATGGTGGGGGTGGGAGAATAGTTTTGTTTGAGTTAAAGGTGAGGTGTTGGTTGTTATCTATGGGATGGGCACCCCCAGTGTATGCATGTGGGAAGGGGTCTTTGTGGCTTTGGCTGGTGTGTCGGGTGTGGGTTCATCCACAGTTGATACCGTAGATTTAATCTGGTTCACTGTAAATAATCTGTGGAAGGAGTGTGGGCTTGTTTGGCAAGCACTCTTCTCTCACTCCATGCATTGTTTTGTGTTTATTCGTAAAAGTGGATGGTGTGACTGAATGGTGAATGAGAGCTTATTGATAAAAATCACTTAAGATATTCCCACAACAACTCTGCAAAGTGTCATGGCATTGTGTCCAATATTTGAATGCAATATTGCATTGTCTGAGTCTCTTGAGTTTCTGATTTTCAATCAGCCTGAGTTTCAATCAGCTTATATGCCTGCAATTGCTGGACAGTGTTTGTGTGCAAAGGGTTTGAGACAGTTATTAATAATATCTTTGCTCTTTCCTACAGCCACAAAGGGCAATGCAAGGGACAAGTCTGCCTGGTTCAGTTTGTTTGCTGATCTCGACCCCCTCTCTAATCCAGATGCCATCGGTCGAGCAGATGAAGAGCTCCTCAATGCCTGAGGGGGAATAAATTATATGATGAGCTTGTTACACACTACTACATCTATCAATACTGCACTAATTGTGAAATATACTTACCAAAACACTAGGTTATCAACTGGAAGAATGAGAATCAAAGGGCCTTTTGAATATAAAACGGGGGGTGGGGGGAGGAAAATACAATCAAATGTTACAAACAGTGCCTCTGGAATGTGGCACCAGCTTGTCTTTGACTTCCCAAATTGCAACCATCTTTCCTGGATGTTGCACACAGTACTTGTTGACTTCAGGAATGGCTGTAAGGTTCCAATCTAAAACCTGAGTAGTTACACAGCGCATTTTAATGTGCTGACTGCTGATTCCAGGGTGAAAATGAAGTCCGTTCCCTGTGTGCTCAATCGTTTACAAGCGAGTGCCTCTATTTAACACTAAGTTCTCCAGGCAGCACTCATAGAACTTGCACAGGGAGCAGAGGTGATGTCCAGAATAGATAGATAGCATTAAGTTCACCTGTAGCATATGTGTATGGGGGAAGAGTTACACACTCACCAGTAATGTGTGTCTAACATATACAATGTTTGGGGAGAGGGGAAAAATAAATTTCATAAGCAAAAATTTGGGGTGTGTTGAAGCAAAATGTGAAGGGGAAGAGACAGGTATATCTTTAAATGTGCAACTACTGTATTCAAATAGAAGTCTAGGATCCATCTCCAAGTTTAAATATTTGCCTTTCACTGTTATACTACTTGCAACTGAAGTAGTAAAGTTCATGTTTGTTTTAATTAATTAATATCCAAACATAGACAATGTTACAGATTGCTATGTTAATGTGTCTTCTGTCACCAACTGACCAGTTACAATGAGGACTTACCCATCAACAGTATGTTTGTTGTCCTTTGAGATGCTTGAAGATCATATCCAGACTTCAAGACATTGTACCATCAGCAACACAAATGATTTTCAGTAACCTCAGTCTATTAAATGTGTCACAGAAACAGGGCCCAGCAACCCATGAATTGTCTCAAAACCAATGGGCACCAGAATGTTACTTTCTCATTTTTGATGTAGTGCATTATCCTCTGGAAGGGGAGGTTTCTTTGATTGAACTGAACTTGTGGGGGCAGGAGTGTCCTCCCAATATCCCATTTCTGAAGGGAGTGATGGGATCTGTGGAACACCCGCAGCCCTTCTGCTCCCTTCCTTACTGTTACACTGTAAGTGTCAGAGAGCATTTCTGCCAAGTTCATTCCCACACACGCACTTTCCAGCAGCAGGTCAATGAGGAGCAAGTTAAGAATTTGCCCTCCCAAGCCCAGGAGGTGTTGAGATTAACCAAATTAGGTAATGCAAAAGATTTGTTCAGTTCTGGACAATGTAATGACATCAAGATTGGCTCATTTGTCCTTCGTCAAAATTAACGTGTTTCTTTTTTGATCCATTGAAAAAAACACTAACATTAACCAGAACTACAATAGTGTTTTTAATGCAATTTAAATTTTGTCACACTACAAAAATAATCGCTCACCTTTGGGTTAAGCGGTCCTCATTCATCTGCCAGTCTGTTGACCCCCTAATGGGAGAGAAACATTTCAGCAGCTGCCAACAGTGTACCAATTCATAGTTTATTTCTGTTGGCAACACCATGTCTATTGTGTAAATAGGGGAGAGCAGAGTTGTGTTTTACAATGAATACTCGGTAGCTGTGAACTCACAAATGAAGAAATAATTCTTACTTTGTAATTTAAATGCATACAGTGTGTAAAAAAAAATGCAAGTCTTGGCCCAGGAATGGATTAATGTTTGTATTTTGTATTGAAGGGTTGTCTGGAAACATTGCCTCTTTCTTCTATTAAAAGTCAGCAATTCTCTAATGTAAAATTAGCATCTATATTTCCAGTCTGGAGCTTTAAATGCTAGTTTTAGTTTGCTTTGGCACCTTAGTGGAATGAATCCCAAAGTGGAAGCAGAAGACTTGTTAACTGAGTCCAGGTTTCTTGTACCAACATTCCTCTACAGAACTTGGTGCTAACTTGAGGGCATCAGTAAATTTACTGACCTTTCACAGTGCATGTTAATACTAGAATTTCCTTCTGGAAATTTACAGATCAACAGAAAATATTATGTTCTCAGCTGCTTAGAACGTACCCTTGACCAGAGAATCATCCCTTATTGAATGTGTTCTCACAGCATCTCCTTTCATCAGATCCAAATTTCTCTGCCAGATAAGAGGGAAGAGAAACAGCAGTAAGCACATTTGTCAGGTTAGAAATGTGGTTTAACTCTTCACATTTTATGTGGATATGCTTACATACCCAGAGCCAGATTTTCCACTTGTCAGTAGGATAAAATAAACAAGAGGGGAGAGTAAAAATGAAGGTGATCTATATGCAGTCAGGTGTCAGTGGGTGCCAGAGCTGAAGCGGCAAAGAGATCAGTCCATCGTTTCCCAAGATTGTGCCTTGAAATCAGAAAAAGATGATATGCCGGGATAACCTTATTTACAACAACATTCTACACACTTTGCTTCAATGTGAGAGAAATTGACAGCAATAAACACACAAAAATCTCCCACTAATCCTTGTTAACTGCTTGTTTTATGTACATTTCATGCATACAAAGGGAGTTTTCCAGTTCAAATGTTGTATAGTTGCACTTCTCATTGGATAGCAGAATGAATCTCATTTACTCCTAACATTGGTCAGACCATTATACTAACAATAAGTCTCCTGTAAAAAGTGAGTTTGGACCAACAGAAATGGGTGGCTTGACTATTCTCTATTGCCTACAGTCTGGGAAGCAGTAAAAATGCAGCAGTTTGCTTTCTTATATGTATATTTAAAAAAGACCCAATAGCAGAAATATATCAGTAAAACTACATTACTGCAAATATGCAACTCTTTGCCTCTGGTCTTAACTGGAAGTTGGAAATAAAATAACACATCAGTGATCATTTGGTCTATAACAAGTTGTGTTTGTAATGCCTGATCTAACCCAGAACCACGACAACATTCTACACACTTTGCTTCAGATGTGAGTGAAATTGACAACAATAGTTTGAATCACTTAATGAACTGGTATTGTGCAAAACATTAAAAAAGTCAAGCTTAAAGAGAGCCATTTGGCAGTAGTGGGAAATATCTTGGCTTTATCGCACAGCATAGTGGAAAGAAGCTCCAATGACAATAGGAGATATTGGTGATTTGCTCACAGTTCCAGGTAGACAATGGGGAAAATGCAACTCTGACAGAAAATATCTATGGTAGTACAGTGGTGCTACCATAGATATGGTATCCACAGTAGCACTTACAATTCCCGGGAGGTGACATTTCTGCTAGTCAGTAAAGTTGCTAACTTTGATTAATAATTACCAACTTGGCTGCATGCATCAGCAATGAGAATGTTCTGTGGTCTCAGGGTAACACAGGTCATCAAGGCTGACACCAGAAGATGCTAATGTAAAGCCAGTCAAATTCAAACAGACAGACATAACCTGAGTGCATCAAATCACTCTTATAAATGATAGCTGTAATAACATATAGACCATTTGATTTTCAAATTGAACTAATAACTTTACAAAACTGGACAGACAGGCTTACTTTGCGAATGGTACAAACTTAAGTCCAATAACATCTGCGTAAAGTAATGGGAGTCCTCATAAGGTTTACGTATCAGGCTTGTTTATTTCATTCTTCTGCAACTTATCGGTGTGTGAATTCTGGATATTCCTCACTCCTGGAATATAGCTAACATCCATCCCTTGAATATCCTCCAATTACTTTAGTGAAACAGACTTGATTCACCTGACTGCCAAATCCAACTGCAGACAACATCCAGAAAATCTACATTCTCCTACTGGATGACAGTTGCCTCAAAGTGCTTTCTTCAGGGATCTTTAACAAGAGTTAAAACTAAATACTAGCCAATGTTTTTGTGAGGCCAAAATTTCCACCTACTAGCCTGGGATTCAATCTGAATTCCTGTGGCCTAAAACAATCCAATTTCGAAATCTTCCTTATTTTAAAGACCATGCCATTACACAACCAAAGCAGCAATATCCACAATGCATACAAATCCATCCATACAACTACAGGAGGCAGGGCTTTGGTTAAGCAGAAACCAATTCACATAATTGTAATTGAAGTAAATTGGAATAGGCAAACATCTATACTGGAATTTTTAAAAGTTGGATTTGTATTGTGGAGTCAAGAGGTAACTCCTCTGCTCGTGCTATAACGCTGCCTCATATCTACAATCATCCACATTATTACAATCACTCACACTAATACAATCACCCACACTAATACAATCACCCACACTAATACAATCACTCACAGTAATACAATCACTCACTAATACAATCACTCACACTAATACAATCACCCACACTAATACAATCACCCACACTAATACAATCACCCACACTAATACAATCACTCACAGTAATACAATCACTCACTAATACAATCACTCACACTAATACAATCACCCACACTAATACAATCACCCACACTAATACAATCACCCACACTAATACAATCACTCACTAATACAATCACTCACACTAATACAATCACCCACACTAATACAATCACCCACACTAATACAATCACCCACACTAATACAATCACCCACACTAATACAATCACTCACAGTAATACAATCACTCACTAATACAATCACTCACACTAATACAATCACCCACACTAATACAATCACCCACACTAATACAATCACTCACAGTAATACAATCACTCACTAATACAATCACTCACACTAATACAATCACCCACACTAATACAATCACCCACACTAATACAATCACTCACAGTAATACAATCACTCACATTAATACAATCACTCACACTAATACAATCACTCACACAAATACAATCACCCACACTAATACAATCACTCACACTAATGCAATCACTCACACTAATACAATCACTCACACTAATACAATCACCCACACTGATACAATCACTCACACTAATACAATCACTCACACTAATACAATCACTCACACTAATACAATCACCCACACTAATACAATCACTCACAGTAATACAATCACTCACTAATATAATCACTCACACTAATACAATCACCCACACTAATACAATCACTCACAGTAATACAATCACTCACTAATACAATCACTCACACTAATACAATCACCCACACTAATACAATCACTCACAGTAATACAATCACTCACAGTAATACAATCACTCACTAATACAATCACTCACACTAATACAATCACTCACACTAATACAATCACTCACATTAATACAATCACTCACACTAATACAATCACTCACACAAATACAATCACCCACACTAATACAATCACTCACACTAATACAATCACTCACACTAATACAATCACTCACACTAATACAATCACTCACTCTAATACAATCACTCACACAAATACAATCACCCACAATCACCCACACTAATACAATCACGCACACTAATACAATCACCCACAGTAATACAATCACTCACAGTAATACAATCACTCACAGTAATACAATCACTCACACAAATACAATCACCCACACTAATACAATCACTCACACTAATACAATCACTCACTCTAATACAATCACTCACACAAATACAATCACCCACAATCACCCACACTAATACAATCACCCACACTAATACAATCACTCACAGTAATACAATCACTCACACTAATACAATCACCCACACTAATACAATCACCCACAGTAATACAATCAATCACAGTAATACAATCACTCACAGTAATACAATCACTCACACAAATACAATCACTCACACTAATACAATCACTCACACTAATACAATCACTCACACTAATACAATCACCCACACTAATACAATCACTCACTAATACAATCACTCACAGTAATACAATCACTCACTAATACAATCACTCACACTAATACAATCACCCACACTAATACAATCACTCACACTAATACAATCACTCACTAATACAATCACTCACACTAATACAATCACTCACACTAATACAATCACCCACACTAATACAATCACCCACACTAATACAATCACCCACACTGATACAATCACCCACAGCAATACAATCACTCACACTAATACAATCACTCACACTAATACAATCACTCACACTAATACAATCACCCACACTAATACAATCACTCACTAATACAATCACTCACAGTAATACAATCACTCACTAATACAATCACTCACACTAATACAATCACCCACACTAATACAATCACTCACAGTAATACAATCACCCACACTAATACAATCACTCACACTAATACAATCACTCACACTAATACAATCACCCACACTAATACAATCACTCACTAATACAATCACTCACAGTAATACAATCACACACTAATACAATCACACACTAATACAATCACCCACACTAATACAATCACTCACTAATACAATCACTCACACTAATACAATCACCCACACTAATACAATCACCCACACTAATACAATCACACACTAATACAATCACTCACTAATACAATCACCCACACTAATACAATCACCCACACTAATACAATCACCCACACTAATACAATCACCCACACTAATACAATCACACACTAATACAATCACTCACTAATACAATCACCCACACTAATACAATCACCCACACTAATACAATCACCCACACTAATACAATCACTCACAGTAATACAATCACTCACACTAATACAATCACTCACACTAATACAATCACTCACACTAATACAATCACTCACACTAATACAATCACTCACACTAATACAACCACTCACACTAATACAATCACTCACTAATACAATCACTCACACTAATACAATCACTCACTAATACAATCACTC